AATTCCTTCTAGTCAAAAAGGTATTTAAGGCTCTTACGATCACTAAACACGTCAAACTTAGAACCATACAAGTAATGTCTCTAAATCTTAAGTGTGAGTACTACGACCACTAACTCAAGATCATGGGTAGGGTAATTCCTCTCATGGATTTTCAACTGCCAAAAGACATAAGCCACAACCTTACCCACTTGCATCAAAATTCCCCTTAACCCCGTATTAGAAGCATCACAAAATACTACAAAAGGTTTTTTAAGATCAGGTAACACTAACACTGGTGCACTAGTTAATCTCTGCAAATTTGGATAAGTCCTTCTTGGGTTGTAGGTTTTTAGCCTCCAATGTTGTAACCTTAGGTGGAACGAAGCTAATGATCTTGTCCTTGAGAGATTTTATTTCTCCTATTACGTCTGACATGTTCTTCCTTAATTCAAGATTTTCTTTTTCAAGAATCTTTTGTTTTCTTTTAATTTCTTGTACTCAAGGGAGATCATGTGAGAGTTAGCCAAGAGAGTCTCATAAGACATCTCATCATCATTTGATTCAGAAAAATAACTTAAGTCAATTTTTACCTCTATGCTATTAGCATCTGACTCAACATCTTCCATGAGGCATATGTTGGCCTTCTCATCGTTTAAGCTACTACTACTGCTATCTAGATCTTCCTAGATGTCTATTAGACTTTTTTGGCCTTCATTTTCGAAGATCACCTTTTCCTTTGAGAAGGACAATCAATCTTCATGTGACCAGATTTCTTGCATTCATAACAGACAACCTCTTTGTTGTTGGTCTAGCTTGGCTTCCTGAACCTTTCCTTCCTTTTGTGGAAGTTTCTCGGTCTTCCTTTTTCTCTTCTTTTGATGGTATCACCACCTTTCAAAGCAATGGTGTCATTTGCTTTAAGGTGATCTCTATTATTCAAATGAACCTCATGAACTCGTAGAGCTCCAATAAGTTCATCAAGAGTGAAAACTTTTAGGTCACACACTTTTGAGATAATTATGACTTTGGGTTCCCAAATCTTAGGAAGACTGTCCAATATTTTAAGGTTATTTTGATCTTTGGAGAACTTAGTTTGTAGGGATTTTAACCCATTTAGAATTGTTTGGAATCTTTCAAACATTTCATCTATGGACTCGTTCTTCTTCATGGAGAATAACTCATAGAGTCTTTGAAGTGTAGCATTTCATTTGAGCCTTACATCTTCAGTACCCTCATGAGTTATCTTGGTGGCATCCCATATTTCTTTGGTTTCTTAGTAGCTGAATAACTTATTATACTCCGTTCTGGACAAGGAGTAAGCAATGATGTATCTTGCTTTGGTGTTGAGCTGTAATATGTTGTAGCCATCGTGAGTGTATTCATTCTTAGGTTTGGTGATAACAACATTGCCTTGAGTGATGATTCTCTAGAGGTGGTATTGGGTGAGTTTGATGAACATCTCAATTCGATCTTTCTAATATGCATAGTTCTCTCCATTAAAGGCAGGAGGCCTTGTGGGAAAAGCTTTTTTTGGTAGGTATTATCCTTCACTACTTCCCATAACAATCTTTTTCCTTTAACACAATTAGATGCTTAACCTTGTCAAAGATTAAGCTTTGATACCAAACTGTGGAGAAAAGATAAACACTATAAGAGAGGTTAAATAATATGTATTGAAAACTCACACATTTTTCATAGTGAAGTGGTAACGTTAGTCATATGAAGCGCGAAGAGCAATTAGATGGAATACTAGGTTCTTCTATACTTGTTCATCTCAACCACCGAGACTATGTCCAATTCTCAATCTAACCAGTTTGAGTTCCACTATCTTTAAATAAAGATACAAAGATTCTTTTAGCAAGTCACTCTTGCCTAAATCCAAAATATTCTTTGACTTGCCTTTTTGAGCAAACTACCTAAGTCTTTTTTAAACAACAAGCTTCTTCAGGCTTAACAACCAAGTATTCTTTTACAGTCAAGCCTATCTAATCTCAAAATAAATAATCTTTTTTATACAAGCTCAAAACAAAGTATTGTTTTAGACAAATCTCTCCAGGCTCAACCTTATAACAATGGTTATGAAGATTACACAAATGTTGTGTTTGTCTCACTTAGATGTTATACACCCAATATAGAGTAGTGAGCTATTACAACAAAGAATAGATTTACAGAGAGTATATGTTTTTGTACAATTGTATCTCTATATATGTTCTGTCTTCTTTCTTGAGCTTTGAATATACTTTTACAATAGCTTGGAAAAAATGATCGTTGCAACACTTTGAGTCCAGCTCACAAGTTTGTTTCATCTGTCTTCATCGTCATTCCTTGTTATAAGTAATCGTTTAACTCATTTAATGCGAGCATTAAATACATTTCACCAAATAATACCTTTTATCTTATCAAGGAGACTTCTTATCAACTTTCCATACCAAATGAAACTTGTAGAAGCAATGTCAACCCAAAACAATTGTAGTAGTGACTTTATACACTTTTCTCTATGATTTTAGGGATCTTCGTTTTGATTTGGGATGGGAATAGGTCAAGCCTTAAACAAGGACCTATGGCCTGACCCTTTTAAAGCCTGACTTGACCTAGTCTATTTAATAAAATGGTTAGGTTTAGACTTTTAAAAAAGTCTATTTATATATAAAAAATGTCAGTTTTAAGCTTATAGAAAAGTCTGTTAAGCCAGATAGATTAGCCTATTTATTTATATAATATAATAATAAAATAATATATATTATTAAAAATATAAATAAAAAATGAATTATACAAATATTTTTTTCATTATAGGTTTATAAGCTTACGACTTGTACATAAGCATACATCAACACACATGATCACACATGAATTATTCCTTCCATAGAAAATGATTCAAATTTTCTCTTATATTTTTTAAAATTTAAATTTTAATAATATTGAGTAAACTATATTTTAAAAATAATTTTTTTGATTTTAAAAAATTAAATTTATTGGCCTAATTATCATTAATAATTTAAATAGGCTAATAAGTTAGGCCAAACTTTCAAAAAAGTCAGACTAGACCTATAAAAAAGCCTATGATATACAATAGGCCAATCTTAGGCTTTAATTTCGCATAACAGACCTAGCCTATATATTCAAAGCCTAACTTGGTCTAGCCTATTCCCATCCCTAGTTTTGACAAAAGCTATGGTTCTTCTTTTTAATAAATTTGTGAGTTCCAAGATGGATTTTTGGTTCGATCTATTAAGGAATGAAATATTCAATACAAGCTTTGTCATTAGTCTCAATAAATAATAAGCATCTAATGTATTTGAGACAAACTACATGTTTTGTCTGATTTATATCGTCTTATAAATGATCTGCATCTTACACTTTATCGGATAAGTATTTTCAAAGATATTTTTGAAGATATCTTTTCTTATAAAAATGTTTTTTTTGTTAGCATTAAAATTCTAAGCTTAGAGATTCAAACTCGTCTTTTGATTTAACAAAAAACTAATAAAATTATCCACAATTCTTATGTTGATCTTGAATCTAGATTTAATCATCTACTATACTTAAACTTACAAAGAATGTATAATAATTTCCTAACCCTGACAACTTGTCCTTTACTGACTAATTTGTTCATACCTTGAGTTTTAAACATCCTTTTTTAGTGATTCCAAAGTCATTAGTTAACTAACATCCAAGGCTACAATTTTTATGAAGTCACTTAACCCAATTATGTCATATATCACATTCAACAAGACATTTATCCCACCCAACACTAAGAGAACAAAGAGTAGGGATTGTTATCTAGAGCTCTTGCACCCAATCTCATGTTTTCATGCTCAACATGATTATGAAGTCTTCAATTGTGCACATACACAAATTTTGCAAATTGGAGGCTTCCTATGGCCTTTAATTGCTCGATCATCACTCATTTAACACTAAAAAGGCTTATAAACTGTTATTGACATTTCCAAAAACTAAATTTTATCACCAATTAACACCTTACTCTTATAAAACATCAATTGAATGCAATTTTCACACAATCACATAGCCAAACATCAAACTCCCAATTCTCAAGATTACAAAGAGGGAAAAACTCAAATTCATCAATCAATTTAGAAATTAACACATTAGAAATTACATATTTATCCAACACTATGTCAAAGTGCTCAAAACCCCTCTAAAAGCATACATTTTAGCAACCTAGAGAGGTTTAAAGATTACTTCACTACCTACAATTTCAAAATATATGCATCCAACAAAACAATCTCACTCTCCCTTACCTCGAAAAGCAATATTCATTTAGAAAAGTGCAATCTAAAATCGTGGTTTCCTTTCTATAGATTACAATATCATCTTTGAACGTTTCCTCCTAAGCATAAAAATCCCTCATGACTTTCTCTTTAACTCTTTTTGTGACTTATGTGTTTTTGACTACAAAAGTGATAGGTTTAGCTTTTTGAGCCTAAAACTTGTCACTTGAGTAACATGTCACCAATAACCTATTCATTTTATTTTAATTATAAAACATATTATATTATGTTAAAATCCAAATTAATTTACATTAACTTGACTAATAAAACAAATTAGTTAAATACTTGGAGGATAATTTTGTCACTCATGGTCATTTTACACAATTCGAGCATAGTTGTCACTAGTAAAATATACATATTTTTTTATTTGTCAAAATTATAATAGCAACACTAAGATATAATAAACATAAAACTTTGAGCAAATTATTTTAACTCTCACCACTAAACCGACCACGTAGTTGTAATGAAATATACATGTGATTTGGATAAAAATCATATAATATTTCTCTTAATACTCATTATTTTCCACCAACCTTCCAATATATAATACATCATTCATAAAGACACTTGACTTTAAGTTACAAACCCGTCAACCAATTGTTGGGCCCCATAATGGACCTTGACTTAAGACCAAACCTGGTTAGGAATTCTAATTTCCGTGGTCTTGGGCCACTTGACCCATCGCAAATTTAATTTTACTGCAATTACGAAGACACCCTGCAAGCAACAGCATTAGCAATGGCGTACGTCCAAAATTAATTTGAATCTCAAAATCGTGGCAGAGAAAACTCTGTCTTCTCTCTGTTCAATAACACAACATACTTTCTTAGAAAAAAAGGCTCATCCTCTCTCTTCCCTCTGCAACAAGTGTGAGTTGCTTTGTCCCATTCACACAGCTACTTCCATCACCACCTAAAATGCAACTTCTATCCTTTCATTTTCTTCCGACCCTTTTTCCCTTTGGTCCCCGCCACACTGCAACGCAGTGCCAGATACCAATGCAGCTCTAGTTTTGCTTCTGTGTAGATCTGACCCATGTGGGAATCTCAAAAAGAGAGAGGATTTTGATTTCTGGGTTTTCTTTTTTGGTGCATTGGGTCATTGGAAAAGTGGAAGCATTGTTGTTGGGGCCATGGGTTCCAATGGTAGCAAAGCCACTTCCTCTTGCAGTTCTTCGTCGTCTTCTTCGGGGAGTTTAAGGAAGGGTCGATCTAAGGGCCTTAGAGTTTTTCAATCTTATTGTCTTGGAACAACTTCTGGGTCTCACGATAGTAAAAATGACGACCAGGTAACACACTGATGTCTTTTCTTAGTTTTTTGCATGTTACTTTTTATTTTTTTTCCTTCACTATTTTTGTTTGTTTTCATTTTGTGCTTGTTTATCGTCCTCTAAAGGTCTTAACTGATATGCTTTGAGGCTATAAGGATATTTGGATTGTGAAGTGGAGGTTGGTACTAGGATCATGCAGCCAAGGTTTCGGAGTTTACTTACTGCATGGTTCTGTTCAATAATAGACTAATAGTGAATTTGATATAGTAGCATCGTCGTTTCAAGAGTTTTCTGCAGTTTATCTGTTAGTTTTTCTTTAAACGAGTATGTAAGATGTTTATCATATGCATGGGGTTGTGGTGGTACCCTGGTGTTGATTTCTCATGGTTACATTGTAAGTGCTGTTGTTTGATTTAAAACAAGACATTTTATTTCACTGTTTTTAATATAGAGTTGTTAACTCATATTTTCTGAGGTTATTGAAATTCTGCTTTGTGTCATACCTTCATAAATCATAATAATATGTGCTTGGGGAGCCATGCTTCCTTTTTATGAGCATTAGTAGATAAGAGAAAAGGAATTAGGTAAACTTTCTCACTTGGAATGTCACTTTTGGTCTGCAAATATTGCAAGGGTTGTCTTTCATCGATTTTTAAAGGATGAGTTTAGACCTGTCTTCTTATAGCGTTAAAGCTCTAACGTCAAAATATGGTTTATTGTGTATGGAGACAAAGGAAACTGTTATTTCTTGCCTTGCATTTTACCGTGGAAAGACATGTCTTAATCAAATGATTCTTTATGGAGAAAAATGACGATTTAATAAACTTCTTTTTTGAAAGATGCAACATCACACCTATTTTATACTAGAGGGTGACAATTTTTACCCAGATTTTCTGTAACAAGTTTTGAAAATCCTGGTTTACCAAAAATATTTTCATCTATGCCTATGGAAGTCTCATTATCTAATCAAAATTTCCTTTTAATGTCTTGGAATTAACTGTTAGAATTGTTTTACTTTTTTCTTTTCTTTTCAAATATTGCTTGAATAAACTTTTATACAAACACTTCTAGGAGAAATAAGAAGAAAAAATAAGCTAAGTTTATCCATAAGGTAAAATTAGTTTATACATAAGCTAATTTGTAGAAGCTCTCTCATATAGCTTCTCCAAAAGATTACAAATTAACTTGTGCATAAACTAGTTTTACCTCATGAAGAAGTTTGTTTCATTTTTCTTTTTTTCTTCTTATTTTTTTCCCCAAAAGTGCTTATGGAGTAATTTATCCAAACAGGTCTGTATCGATCTTGTATTGATTGCAGATTTGGTTGATTTAGTCAGTTTTGTGGTGTTAATTAACTGCCTAAATAGAATTTGTAACACTTGTTATAGGTTTGTGATCATAATAAAGCCAATGGCACTGCTGTTACATACACTGATGGCAATGGAACAGACTCAGTTGAGGTGAAAACAGAGTCATTTAGAAAGGTTAATGCTGGTGAAATGACTTTTATGCCTTCTAACGTTGACCTTCATGAATGGGGTGAAACAAGCATCCATAACACATCCAGAACTGGTAGCAGCTCAATTCATTCATCGTCAACTCATTCCTTGAACCCTACTAGTCATTTCCTTTCCCGGTTTTGCCTCATTCCTGGTAATGTAAGCTTCGGACTTAGCAGAACCACCAGTTTGGGGTCATCAAGGCCTTGTCCTGTGTCTTCTGCAAGTCTCTCAATATTTGGCAATGAAGATGAGCATAATCTCCATCGTGGATCTCTTGGAAGTTTGATTAACAGAAGTGAAACCCAACAATGTAGTGACTTGCTTCCTGCATCATTTTTCAATCAAATACATGCACAATGTCGCGAACATGCTTCTAATAATTTGAGGTCAAATGCCCCAACATCAGCTGTACCTGGAAACCTGCAGAGCAGTTCCACAGGTGGAATTTGTACAAGTGAAGGTCCAGGTGTGAACTTATTTTCTCCAAGAACTCAAATAGACACAGAAAATGTTGACACTAGACATATTGATCAACAAAATGGAGCTAGAGAATCAGTTGAACAGAATGTTCGTTTTAGCCGAACTTTAAGTGTTGGAAGGCTCCATGACAGAGTTCTTCGTCCATCAACATTATCTGAACTTCGCCCTCTGCAACAAGAGAGGGAGCTGGTTGATGTTAACCTTCCTAGACAGGATATTGAAAGACAAGCAGTGGAGGGAGATTCACGAGTGTCACCATCTAATCATAGTGCAGTGAATTCTTCTTCTATATCTGGTTATCCTCCATCTAGTATGTCTAACTCCTTGTTTGGCATCCAAGACTATGAGGTTGAAGCTTCACGATTGAGAGATGGTAGGTATCAGAATCTGCTGGAACATAGGTCCAATTTCCTTGAACGGAGAAGAAGAATACGGTCACAGGTTTGTGAATTTTGAGTTTTGAGCGAGTACTGATGATTTGATAATATACTAATATAGTAGTATACTAACATGCTAGTTTCATATCCTATTTTATTTTAGAAAAAGCATGATCCAAATGTCATGCTTGTAAGCTAGTAAGTGTGGCAAAGTAATGAGGTTGATATCTATGTTGTCATAATTAAATCACAAACTTCTAGAAAAAAGAAACACTACAACTTATGGCTACTTATTTGAAAATATCTTTACCTCAAACTTTTCCATTACTGATTTACATGTAAAATTATTTAGGTTCGTGCTCTTCAGCGGTTGGGTAGCCGATTTGAAAATATTTCTGGACATGATAGATCATGTATTTTGTCTGGTCAGAATAGAAATGGTCGTTGTACATGCCGAATCAATAATGGAGACACTTCAAATGATGATACCGGTGCTAGAGCTAGCATATCAAGAATTGTGATGCTAGCTGAAGCCTTATTTGAGGTAATTTTAATGTGCTGTTTAACTACTCTGGTTTCTGATTATCATTAATCATTAATAATATAATATTAATATATTAATATATTTATACAATTTTGAATCATCTGCACATATTTTTTATTAGGTTCTGGATGAAATTCACCAGCAATCTGTTGTTTTATCTTCTCGCCCTTCTGTATCTTCTATTGGATCTGTTCCTGCACCTAATGATGTTGTGGAGTCCTTGCCTGTCAAGTTATATGAGAAGTTGCATAAGCATCAAGAGGATGGTGCACAGTATGTCTTATTCCCATTTCTTGATGTTCAGTTTATCAAATGCTTTCAATGGATTTTCCATTTTTTCAGCTTTCATTTCATCTTATTTATTTATTTATTTATTTTTATTTTTTATTGTTAATTTTGTCATTATCATCTCTTATTAGTGACATGTCAGATAAAGTTTACATAATAGGCCACTTGTTGATGATCGGTTATCCCAAAAGCTTTAGATGTTAGGTGAAGACTCTTGAATGACTTTATCTCTAAAAAGCAACCTCATGAAAGAGACCCTCGGGCTTGAAGTGTGGAACTTTTACCTTGTGTTGAAATTTGACTTTTTTATGTAGAAGAATGGGATGACACAGTCAATCTTTTCACCACTTGGCTGTTGAAGCTTTAATACTATGATTAAAGAAAGTGATTTAATGAAATTGAGTGTTAGGCTGCATAAACATTTTGGTATTTATGGATCCTATTTACAAACCACTTAGAGAATACTCTTAAGATAACGCAAAAATAATCCCTCGCATAATGATTAGTAGGCTTAATTAATTTTTTTGGTTTAATTAATTAATTAGCTCCCAATAATTCCTTTGGTTTTTTGATTTCGTACTAATGTCGTAAGCTTTCGTTTTAGACTAATCTAACTCATCTGTGAGGTAAGTAAATCTTGGCCAGGATTGTTTTGTTTGGTTTAATTAATTAATTAGTAGGCTTAATTAATTTATAATAGTCAATTTGTGAGTTTTAGCCCTAATAATTTTTTGCAGCAATCAAATCCTCTATTTTTTCTAATTGAAGAAACCAGGGCCTTCCAACAATTTGTTATCCAATCACTAAGATGCTATGATCCACTATTTTCATGCGTAGCGTGATACATTAAGTAATTTATTTATTTATACTGAGAAATTTAGATAAAGTTTACCAGTGGGTCCATTACTAAAGTGTCATGTCACATGTAAATGGTTAGCCACATTATGAACTTCTGTTAGTAATTAAGAAAGGGAATATTTTCAATTAGTAAATTGGGGGATTTGATTGCTTTAAAAAATTACTATGGATCAAAATCATACATTGGTCATAATAGAGAGAGAAAATGTTTAATTAAGTCTTTATTAATAATCAGTTATTTTAATCTAATCAATGTAAATACAGTGGACTATATTATGAACTAACATAAATGGTAATATTCTAATATAAATGTTAACATTTTGGAATTTTCCCAAAATAAAAGGGAAGGTAAATATGAAGTAATGTTATAGGATGCCGCTGTTTTTTAATCACAGTTTGTTTTTTTGCGTGTCAAAAGTTTTACATAACAAGAAGAAAATACTAACTGGTGTTATGAAATAGTAATTGCTATTTTCACTATAGTGGTATTTTACTGTTTTTAACTTTGCTAATCCCTATTTTCACAGATGCTATATATGCCTTGTGGAGTACGAGGATGGAGACAACATGCGAGTGTTGCCGTGCCATCATGAATTCCATAGAACATGTATAGACAAGTGGCTGAAGGAGATTCACAGGTATGAGAAAATAAGGATATGAATTTTTTTCGTATTAACTAAATTGGTAAATTGAAACATCAGATTTATACAAACTTAACTTTTGTTCCATTTACTGGTGCCAGTATATAGCCATACTGTATGCATATAAAAAAGTCTCTTGACATTTAATCAAGATGATCAGATTTTTTTTTGAAAATACGACAAAAAATCTAGTTGTAATCAATTGAGACTTTTTTCACTTAAAAAAAGTCTTCTAGTATTCAAAAACATAAATTTCGGTAGATTATTTTGTAAGATGATTTTTGTGAGACTTTTTAGTAGAAATTATGCCTAATAGACTCATTCAACAATCACTAAAATGACTATCTAACCATCAATTACCATTGGTTTAGATCGGGGAAAAAACTGAAGATTTCATCCACTCCTATATTTCTTTCTATTGACACTTCTACCTATGCTATTATTTCCAAAACATAACATATTTGGTGATGGATATGACACATTTAAAGATTCGAGAGGGATTGTAGATTTACATAATAAACTCAATTTCTTGTCTTTAGTTCTTGCCTATTCGTCATGACAACTTTTATAGAGGCCCTAATGGTTGGATTTCTTGTATTTAATCTTACATTTGTGCCGGATATAGCTACCATGTTATGTTCTCTACCTATGTAATGATTTTATCATATGTTATTTACGTAACATGTTAACACCTCTAGAGAGGCGTTGCATGTTTCTAACATTATATACTATGCACAGGGTGTGCCCACTTTGTCGGGGGGACATATGCATATCTGATTCAACTCCCACACAGAACTCCAGTGGCTAGTTGTTGATGAGTGAGTATCTGCTTTGAAGAATCCGCTGATACTTTCCTTTTGTGCTGTGAATACCTCAAGTTCACTCCTTTTCTGCTGCTATTGTTATTGCTGTCAATGATTATTTACTCTTGTGATAAATAAACATCAAATCCATGGTAGGGATAACTGATCTGCTTATGGGAGAGGATAGAAGGAAAGTAGAGAGAAGGGTTCTATCCGCAAATTTTTTATTTATTTTTTGGCCCTTGTGTTTCATCGGTTGATCAGTCTGAGAATGACTATATTGAAGGTTACATGGAACATGTTGAACAGGTCATAATGCAAAAGTAAATATTTACAAAGTTTACCCCGAGTTGATAGAAATTCATATTATTGCGTTGCAAAACAACCCCTATCGAACTAAATCTCCTATCCCTAAGTTGTATTCCATTCCTGTCCCACCAATAAATAAGTTATGCCCTTGAAAATATCCATTTGTTAAGATATTCCAATTTAATACTAAATTTGGTGAAAAAGATATTCCAATCCAAGGTGCATTCGTGCCCTCTAAGATATTGTTTGATTCCATTTTAGAGAAAAGAAAACATTTTGATTGATTAAAATCGATTAGTTCGATTTGAATTTAAAAAAAATATGTTTCAGTTTCAGCAAACTTTAACTAACTATTCTTCAATATTTTGATTCAATTTTGGTCATGATATATACTTTTAAAACCTGTCTCTTGAATCTTGATAAAGGGTACCTGGGATGATTCAATGTTGAAACCGTAGTCATGGTATGAAGTGAACCCCAATCTTTAACACGGCCATTTGGAGTCTGAGTTGGAGCGTGGTAACAAGTAGTGGAAATGGAAATACCTTTATTGTTTTTAGCAATTGGTGCCAAAATAGTTAATTTGGGCCTTAGAATATCTCATAGACACACATGATGTACTATATGTTATTGAATGAAATGGGTGCTGGTTCCTAAATTTTATTTTGCATGCTAGATTAGACTCAATTATTTAAACCCAAAACAATACTTATCATGTTTAGTGTAAGAAGAATGTATACGTGACCTAGTATAGAGATTGGACATTCATAGTCATCACTCCAACATATTGTTAAGAAGCTAAAGCTAAACGAATCCCAATTAAGAGAAGAGAAGGGTCTCCTAAGAAGTGGAAGAAAATTCTTTGTAAACATCTCCCATCATTCATCAATTCATTCCAGGTTTTATACCAACCTGATTTCAACGCAATTTGTATAACGGGCTAGCTTCCTGTAAATCCTTTTGGGCTTATTTAGACCAACTTATGGCCCAATCTTACTGGTTGGATGGGCCGGTTGTATCACATATTCTATCAATGCATGTGTTTTTAAGAACATATCGGTATCGCTAATTATCATGGTTTCTAAATTGTTCCTATAAAAAAAGAAAGAAGAAAGAACCTAGGTTCATGAATTTTGACATAAAGAAAGACAACACCTCCATCCACCATATGATCACAACCATGATTTTGTTTTAGGCACGATCGAAGTGGGAGAATTTTGATAAGTCAAAGAAATAGTGTTGCATAACTACATTACTAAACTCCTTCTAGCATCATTTAAGCTCATTCATGAAGTAAAAAATATAAGCAGGCATTTGTAGAAAGCCGTTGACCAAAATTTGTATACATTCTTCATATGATTGTATGTACTAGTTCCTCTAACCAATTATTAAGAAATCAGTTATATATCTAATGGGTAGTTTTTTTTTTTTTTGGGTTGTATTCATAAGAAATAAAAATCAGAGCTGAACTAGGATCTCACATGAGAGATAACTAATGGGTAGTTATATATCTAATGGGTAGTTCCATTACATCATATAGATAACTCACTAAAATAGTTTTTTCATATTAATATTAAAATACTTTAATTAACTTTAACTAATTTTCAATCAATAATAGTCACATTTATTTTATTAACTAGGTATCAACAAGAATATCCGTAAAATTAATTCTAATTTTAGGAGCGATCGTTATATAAAATATTTAATAAAATAAGATTTTCAAATTCGCTTCACGTTACAACTAAAGTTTATTTGAAGTTATAATTAATTTTCATTTCAACAATAGCTATCGGATTTAACAGGTTTTAAAGAAAAAGGAAAAGAAAGAGAGGGCGAACCAAAAGAAAGAGAAATATTGTATTATGATAGATTAGCTACAAAAGAGAAAAGAATACCTATTTATACAAAACAAAAAATAAAACTAAACTAAAACTAAAACAGAAAAAAGCTAACAGAAACTAAAAATACATAAAAGAAAAACTAACCAATTAATTTGGTATTACCCCCTTGCAAGCTGGAGAATGTATGTCTAACATACCCAGCTTGGATAAGATGTGATAAAACTAGAAGAAGCTAGAGGCTTTGTGAGGATGTCAACTAACTGATTAGAAGATGAGACAGGCAAAAGGTGTATTAATCTAGAGAGTAGTTTTCGCGAACAATATGACAGTCTAGCTCAATATGTTTAGTCCTTTCATGGAAAGAGTCATTGTGAGCAATGTGAATGGCAGACTGATTATCACAAAACAAGTTACAAGGTATTTGCGTTGCATGATTCAATTCCTTGAGAAGATGACTTAACCATTGAACTTCACAAACTGTAGAAGCTAGAGCTCTATACTCAGCTTCTGAGGATGACTTAGAGACAATTGTCTGTTTCTTTGTTTTCCAAGAAATGAGAGATGCACCATAGAAGATACAATAACCTGTGACAGAGCGCCTAAAATCCGGACATCCAGCCCAATCTGAATCACTGAAAGCATGAAGCTTGAAATCTGATGTGGAAGGAAAGAAAAAACCTTTACTAGGACAAGATTTGATATATCTAAGGATATAGTTAGCTGCCTAAAGATGGACATCAGTGGGAGAATCAAGAAATTGACTTAATTGTTGGACAACATAAGTAATATCTGGGCGAGTTGTAGTCAAATAGAGAAACCTTCCAATTAGTCTTCTGTAAGATGAGATGTCATCTAATGGTGTGCCAGAATCTTTGGATAATCTAAGTGCAGAATCCATATGGTTCTTAACTGGTTTAGCTGCCCAAAGACCTGCATTAGATAAGAGTTCAAGAGCATATTTTCTTTGGTTTAAAGATGTGCCTTTATAAGATCTAGCTAACTCAAGCCCCAAGAAAAATTTGAGCTCTCCAAGATCCTTAATTCTGAACTTGTTATTGAGAAAGGCCTTGACTTGTTGAATAGTAGTAACATCATTCCCAGTAAGTATAACATCATCAACATAAATGATAAGAGCGTTAAATCCAATTTTAGATTGCTTTGTAAAGAGAGTGTGATCAGAAGAACACTATTTGAAATTAAGAGTTTAGAGGGCTTTTGTCAAAGTGGTGTCTACTAGCTTGTTTCAGACCATACAAAGATTTTTTGAGTAAACAAACTTGATTTGGTTTTGAAGAAGAAAAACCTTGTGGAAGTTTCATGTAGACTTCTTCATCAAGATGCCCATAAAGGAAAGCATTATCCTTGTCTAATTGTTGAAGGTGCCATTGTTTAGCAGCTGCTATAGAAAAGAGAAGTCTCAAGGTAGTTATTCTTGCTACAGGAGAAAAAGTGTCTAGAAAATCTAGACCTTCAACTTGAGTGTACCCTTTTGCTACAAGTCAGACCTTATATCTATCAATTGATCCATCTGTCTTGTGCTTTATTCTATAAACCCACTTACATCCTATAGGAGTCTTTCCAGTAGGAAGATCAACAAGAGACCAAGTGTTGTTCCTTTGCAAAGCTGCAATCTCCTCTTGCATAGCTTTTCTCCAATTTTCAGATTTTACAGCTTGAGAGTAACTCTTAGGTTTAGTAGTAACAGATAAGTTGGCGATAAAATTATGATATTTAGATGACAACTTATCATAGGAGACAACAAAAGAAAAAGGATATAAGATTGGGGATTTTGTTTGTTGGTGACTGATGAGTCATTATTTTTCCTTATTTATTTATCTTTTTGGGTGCTGAACATGGACCACCCAAATCAACATCAAATTAACTCTAAATGCAACTGTAGTGCACATGGAATCAGCTCTTGGACGTGCACATGGGGCTGCCAAGAAATTTAAATTTCAAATCCCATTTGAAATTCAAATTTTCGGCGCCATTTGTGTTCCTTCAAAGTTAGAGCCATTATGTTTGCTCCCTTAGCCTATATATTGAACCATTCTCTTTACTTTTCAGCACTTTGAATAAAATTAGAGAATTCTAAAATTGTTTTAGCCATTTCTATCTTTCAAAGTCCCCACACCTAGTCTAGGTTCTCCTTGAACTTCTTCTAGGATTAGCACCTTTGTGAGTAATCCATTACTCACCTTGCCTTGGTGCTCCCTTCTTCTTCATTCTTCTTCCTTCTTTCAATTTTCAAGGTTCTTCCTAGCTAGAATTTTCGTCCAGCCACTTCAAGGAGAAGATCAATGGCCGGAGCAAGCCTAAGGTGAAGAACATTCATCCTTCTCACCTAAGTTTGCCATCATCACATCTCGCCACCAAAAATTAATCGATGATAGTGTTGTTGAGTCACTATCAAACAAAACTAGGTTTCTAAAAAATTTTGTAATATAGAGAACTAACCTAGGTCATCTCTCAAGGACATAAGTTCATTCTATTTCTGATTTTTTATCATGCTATTGAGTTAGGTTTAGGGGAATTTTATTTCAAACAAATTGTAAACAACAATATATAAAAAAAAGGTAGAATCTCAACACAGAATTTCAATATTATCAAAATACTGGTTTAAGGTTTCAATTCCTACGGTGTATAATTTTCATTTTTCATAACAAATACGAATTCTTAACCAACCTAATTCAATTCAAAATTAATAAATACAGAGATCTAAATCTAGATTATGAATTCTATTAAAATAAGAACTACAATCGCAAACTCAAGGTTCCAACAAAATTCAAGAACGATTATCGGATTGAATTAGGTTGATTTAGGTTATTTCAAATATGAAATTGCATCTTCTTATTTCTGTTTATGATTCAAAACGAAAATTCAATATCATGAAAAATGAAATTATCCTAAACAGAAACAAGAAGAGGAAGAGAGAATTCGTTCAGTAAAAATTAAGGACTCAAATTTATCATAGTTCTTGAAACCCTTAACCGATTGATGGATTAGCCTTGCCTCATAATCATGTTGTTTCAACCAATTCCAATAGAGAAGAGAGAAATTTTGTGAAAGAGAGAGAGAGAGAGAGAAAGAGAAAAAAGAGAAGAGAAGAGAGAATTTGAGAGAAACTTCTTGAGCAAGAAATCCCAAATTTGAAAAATGAGAGTGCAAATTTAATGCAAAGAGTCATTACATG